ACAAACACTTCCCCTCGCTCCATTTTGCTTATTTAAATAATCATTGTTGCTGAATTGATCTTTTCTTGCTGGAACATAAAGCAGTTAACTTAGATAAAAAGTGTAAATAAAACGATGAATCATCGTGTCAAAACAGTTTTATTTACGCTTGCTGGTTCGAGAAAATATAGCCCGAAATAAGACAACGAATTTTGGTAGATACTAAACTATGCAAGATCTTCACACTAGTAGTTTTGATGGGATGGCTGTTTCGAAGTTGAAGTTCAAAATTCAACTTCCGATTAGATATATTGGATCATCTATATTTAAACGAGCATTTCGAATATACCTGATCCACTCAAAAGTATAGGAAAAATTTTTGCCATACCCGTAGTATTAAAGACTAACAGAGAGAATCATTTGTGCCAAATTATAGGTGGATAAGAGTTGCCTTGTATCAATCGCATTTAAATGACCTTGTAGATAGTGCGGAAGGCATTGAGGCCATCATACGAACTGCATACGAACTGCATACGAAGTTTGCCATAATTCATAATAGTGTCACAAACTCAAAACAGTATACGGAGATAACTCACAATTTCCTTTTCAATTATTCGGTTATAAACAATTCAGTATTACTAAATTTTCAATTAGTCCGTCGGGACCTCATGCAATTCCACATAACTGTGCTCTGTCTAGTATCTCTTTCATAAGGATTACCTTCAGTGATTTCACTTCTTAATGTCTGGACAATAATGTTATGGAGCTAGCCTGATGCATAGAATGTTGACGAGTTTTAAATATTGCTTATGGAATTTGTCAGCACTGGATCTAGAAATATTTAATGCCATCGACTTGTTTAGAGTTACTACATCTACTGAAATTTCAGCAGCCTTTCCATCAAATTAAATACTGGTAAAAATAACCTAAAATAGTCTAGCGGAAAGCACACCAAAGACAAACACTGTTGTATATTAACCCATTTATTTTATAAGCCAATGATTGTTATTTGGTTTTTAAACGCTAACATAGATAAATGGAAAACTAACATAGATAACTGGAAAGCTAACATAGATAATTGGAAAGTTAAAAAACAGAAGAGATGGGAATTCAACAAACAAATTCTATTTTAAAGTTATATCAGGAGAATAAGTACATTCAATTACAAAAAAAAATTACACCGTTCACATTACATGAGACTGAGCACTGGTGTTAACCTGGATTTCTGGACTAACATTATATTCATAAAACAACAAATGTCTTACAAGCAACCATTTTTCCCGAAATATAAGCTAATGCCTCTTAATTACTAGTTATGAAACAATGCTTATAAAATTGGTGCACATTTCTGAAGAAATCAAAGACAAGTCTGCAGATCTAAGTGCATTGCTCAAGCTCGTGAGCAATATAACAGTTCTCAGAAAACTTCATTCTCTTAGTAATATCATCATGTACTGCACAAAACTTTCGATTTCGTTGTTCATTTAAACGGAAAAACTGTTCAGTTTCATCAAATATTTGTTTCTAATTAGCTCATATCTGTAGCTGACATATGACAAACTCTAAATTTTGTGCACATGCGCTTTCTTAAATTTCCAAGTGCCGCAGAGGAAAACCAAGTAAGAATGAGCGCGAGGTCTACATTTTAGTTGGAAAGATTGGAAAAACTGTATGGCGACAAAATATACCATTAATAATTTGAGTGGAAAGAGTACAATGAAGTAAATAATGTAGAAGGAGATGACTGCAATACGGTGGCGATTAAATACACTCTCCGCAGC